GGTGTGGAGTCCACGAATAGTGTAGGGATCAATTCTTACATAAAAAACTGACCACTCACAGACCACAACGTGGGTAGTGGAGTCCACGAATAATGTAAGGATCAATCCTTAGAGCATCTGCAACCATATACTCCTAATGTGAGTCCTTAACATTATTAAAGTATTTTTTTTTGTTTTTAGAATAGTTAAGGATTTTTGTCAAAATAATGTGTCCAATGGTGTTCCACAATTAGGAGTTCTTAGAATTTTTTTTTTTTTAAAAAGTGAAAAATCAAACACACTTGATCGGAAATCAAACTCGGATCGATACAATAAAACAATTCAATTACACAGCACAAAACTGGAATACAAAGGAGAAGTTTTCAGGTGGTCTTAGAAGCTGATCAAACTTACCGTCGTACCGGTGATGTCATTCTCTTGCACCTGTGCTGATTGAGCAACGTATGCTGGAGCCGCTACTACAGATGGGACTGGTACTGGAACAGGGTAAGCAGCTAAAAAAAAGAGAGCTCCCAATTAGCCAAAAGACTTCCAAACATATGAACCAAAAACAAGATTCTATAAACGTAATTTAAATCATGTGTTATGTTCTCATACCTTTAGCGACATATTGTTGCTGCACACCAACGTTTTTTCTAGGCGTAGCTACGCTGATACGCATAGGCCTTGCTGAGCAATACAAACCATTCATTTCCGACATTGCCTTGTTCCTTTCATTTTCATCTGCAAATTTCACAAACTCGTAAGCTTTTTCCAGTACTTGGATCAGTAACAACCTTGGCACCTCTCACAGAAGCATCAATGTCCCATTGTACGTCTGAAGCATTCTCTCTGCTGCTGCGTGAGATACAAACTCTATGAAACCATACCCTTCAGGCTGGCCTGTAATCTTGTTACGTATCACCTTCACAGAAACGAGCTGCACATATATGGATACAAAGATTATTATAATGCTGATTCAATTATCCTTCCACACTTAAAAATTTAAGAGCATAACTATAAACTCTGCACATCAAAAATGGTGAGAGCCTTTAAACCATATCGAAAGACTCAGACTTTCAATGAAGGGTAAGCAATAGACAGTTTAATAGACCACACCAGGTATCTATACAACACTTAACATCCTCAAAACCAAAGTTATTTGCCTTCATCTATTCCTAAACGTCAAATAAACCTTATCAACGACACATAAATAGATATGCAGAACAGAACATTATACTGTTGATTCAAATATTCTTTCAATTTCAAATGTCCTCTAACCAAATTGAAAGACTCAGACTTTCAATGAAGGGTAAGATAAAGACCGTTTCATAGAGCCACCAAGTACCTATAAAGTGTGCACATCAAACATGGTGAGAACCTTTAAACCATATTGAAAGACTCAGACTTTCAATGAAACTGTTTCCACACTTAACATCAAAGCCAAAACTATCTGCTTTATCTATCCCTAAACAGCAAAGAAACCTTAGAAAAATCAGATTGATACCAAACCCAGAGAGAAAGAAAACTAAAGCTGTAAATTGGAAGTATACAAAGTCACTACAACACGCAGAGAAGCTTAGGAAGAAGATAAAAAAGGTTAGCTCGCCTGTTTGGGAGAAGCAGGAAGTGAGATAGTTCTCGTCGACCCAATACTGTAAATCTCCAATCTAGAGGGTTCGTACTTCTTCTAGCGTCTGTGGATGGTGATAGCCGCCTTGCTGCTGCGGAGATTCGACGAGAGATTGACCTCGGATGAGAGAAGCCCACCTCCCTGTTGAATATTTCTGTGAACCCATCATCGATTTCTGCGACGTTGTCATCTGAACATCATCGATGGAAAGAGTTAATCGATAGAGAGAGAGAGCAAACCGGAGAAGAGGAAGTGCCACGTCGATAAGGATTGAATCCTTCTAGCCCCCTAATTAAGGACTGCTCCTTAATAAAAGATGTATTATTGATTTTCTTTTAATCTGATTTACCTAGGATTTTGGGCTAAGGATTGGCTAAATACACTGTTGCACTTGCTCTTACATAATGATTTTAAGGATTGATCCTTACACTATTCGTGGACTCCACTGCCCACGTGGCGGTCCGTGAGTGATCAGTTTTTTTTTAAAGAAAAAATCTGAAATATCCATATATAATTCAAAATACCCATTTTTCTTTTTTTCTAAGGATTCCCCCCCAAAGATTCACCATTACGGATGCTCTAAGAAATGTTGAAACATGCAAGCGCATCAGTCCATGGTTTATCAAGCATGACCAAAAGTTTTAGTGTCTATTATTTGCACACAGTTGAATTAATCAATTGACTACATAATTTATATTATATTTTCGATCTTTCTAAATATAGATTGAAGAGAAACGCGGACAGCAACATAAATTCATAATTGCGTCAAAAGAGAAAAAAAAAAAACATGAGACAACGACCTCTCTCACATGCTATTCTCTAGCGACCTTAAATTAATCCACAATTTTCTCCTTTTCACTTAAATCAGTGGCGGACGAAGAGAGTTCGACGTACGGCCGTCTAATTTCCCCAAAGCATTTTTGGGGAACTAAAATGTAGTAAAGAAAATTTTTGTGTCTCCAATTATATTTGTTTCTAGATCTGTCCCTGCTTAAAATAGTTTTTTCCCCAAAGCATCTATATAAATTCAGTTCTCCTCCAACTAAATCATTCAAAAAAAAAAAAGAAAAAGAAAGAAAAATATTTATGTAACAAAAAAAAGAGAGGAAAATGGCTAATAAAAACGTACTAGCATTATGTCTGATGCTTCTAGTAGTATCAAGTGTGGTCTACGAGGCGCAAGGAACGTTCTTGCTAAAGATGTACATGAGGAGACATTTTATCCGAAAGGCAAGGGCCTTTACACCATTCGCATGCAAAGGTATGTTATTATTGATGGATAGACTTCAAAGTGGGTGTCCCGCGACGCAAGGGTTCAAGACTTTCTTTTCACTGTTCACGTCTTACGTGACATTCATCAAAACGGCACCGACCACATCGAAAAGCACCGATACTCAGCTAACAACAAAAGTTGACGCCCTCGCCAATGCTGTATCTGAATTGACTGGTGCTAAAAGCGGAGTAAGTACCTATACCGTAACACCATAACGTTTGTATAATATTTTAAGTAACTAAGGACATCAACAATAGTGGGTAAGAGTTTCTCAAAAATTCGTTTTAGTATTTTGTACGTACTTAACATTTTTATTGGGGGACTATTTTGGGTCCTTAATATTTTTTTTTTGTTTTCTGATTTAAAAAAAAAATATTAAAAGTGAACGAATCGCTGGTTGCCATGTATCGTGGGACCCACAGACAAGGCAAAGGACCGAACAAAAACGTTCCTTGTTTAGAGACTTTTCTCCCTCTCTCTCTTTTGGTTCTCCTCGTTTTTGATGAAGGACTCGGTAAGGACCGAGCAATACCGATGCTCTTATGAGAGAATCTCAAATGAGAGACTCCTCTTGTCATTTTCTCTATAGCCTAAAACATTTGTGTTAGAAGTCTCTCATTATTTTAATACTAATATAATTGATGAGAGACTACGGTTAAAGAATTTCCAATGTTGATGATCAGGATGGATCTAGAAAATGAGATAACATGAGGTAGGAAATTAAATTTAATAAGTTGATTTTTTTTTTAAATAGGTAAACATTTAACATCTATATATATATATATATATATATATATATATATATATCAATTATTTTAAAAAATCCTACATCCATTATTTATAAAATGAATCAAATAAAAAAGCAATTCCATAATGTTAAATATTTAGTGTAACAAATATTAATAAATAGCATACAGTACATAATAATTTCGTTATTAAAATATTCATTTTTATCAAGTTATTAAAAATAAATTTAATAAAAATAATTATTAGAATTACCATTTAAATAACCTATAGATCAAAATAAACTTAAAAGTTATATATTTAAGAAGAGACCATTGCTAAATAAAAGAAAAAATAATTATAGAAAGAAAGAATAGTGTAGGTACACAAACAAAGGTAAAAGAGGAAAATATTTGGTGAAAAGTGATTAAAAATGTTTTTTTAAAAAATTAAAAGAATAAAATAACAGTTGGGGGCTTCGAATAAGAATTGGGTGGATACTATTGGGCATGTATTAGTCGAAATTCATTATGTATTCATATGCACAACAAGGGTAGTGAGTATGTTGCACGTACCACACCCACTCTGTGCGTGGATCCACCCCTGTCTTAGATTTTATTTTCTTATTTAGCTTTGTTTTGGAACAGTCGAATTCAAATTTTAGAGAAACTATGCTGTCAATGGGAAAGACTTTGATTCAGCAGAAGAGTAGTTCAGAGAGCATGACACATCAGCAAGAGAAAGTGTTGGTCAAGGCTATGGTGCAATGGAGTAAAACGGTAGTTACATTGGTGAAAACGGCCGTGGAGGCAGCAGGAAAGTCTATAGATGTATCAAACCTAGGGCTTGACGTTGATGTTAACTCTGTTGTTGGAAGTGGAAGTGAAGATAGTCCAACAACCACCGGCTCCGCTGAAAGCAATACTAACTCAGATTCAATCACTTACGAAGACACTACCGGTGGAGGTTCAGATAGTCCGAGTGGAAGTCCCACAGGCAGCCCTTCGGACAGTCCGAGTGGTAGTCCCACAGACAGCTCGAGTGGTACAACCACGGGTAGTCCGAGTGGTAGTCCCACAGACAGCTCGAGTGGTACAACCATGGATAGCCCGAGTGATACAACCACAGACAGCCCGAGTGGTACAACCACAGACAGCCCGAGTGGTACAACCACGGATAGCCCGAGTGGTAGTCCCACAGACAGCTCGAGTGGTACAACCACGGATAGCCCGAGTGGTAGTCCCACAGACAGCTCGAGTGGTACAACCATGGATAGCTCGAGTGGAAGTCCCACGAGTAGCCCGAGTGATACAACAACAGACAGCCCGAGTGGTACAACCATGGATAGCTCGAGTGGAAGTCCCACGAGTAGCCCGAGTGATACAACCACAGACAGCCCGAGTGGTACAACCATGGATAGCTCGAGTGGAAGTCCCACGAGTAGCCCGAGTGATACAACAACAGACAGCCCGAGTGGTACAACCATGGATAGCTCGAGTGGAGGTCCCACGAGTAGCCCGAGTGATACAACAACAGACAGCCCGAGTGGTACAACCATGGATAGCTCGAGTGGAAGTCCCACGAGTAGCCCGAGTGATACAACAATAGACAGCCCGAGTGGTACAACCATGGACAGCTCAAGTGGAAGTCCCACGAGCAGCCCAAGTGATACAACCATGGATAGCTCGAGTGGAAGTCCCACAGATAGCCCGAGTGGTACAAACACAGAAAGTCCGAGTGAAAGTCCCACGGACAGCCCAAGTGGTACAGCCACAGACAGCCCAAGTGGTACAGGCACAGAAAGCCCGAGTGGAAGTCCCACGAATAGCCCGAGTGATACAACCACCAGTACTGGAAGCGATACTAATTCAGGTTCAGTCACTTACGAAGACACTACCGGTGGAGGTTCAGATAGTCCGAGTGGAAGTCCCGCGAGCAGTCCTTCTGGCTCAGAATCTGCTAGTGGTGGTAGCTCATCCACAACATCAGCGAAAGAAGTCGAGATTCAAACATCCAAAGACGCAAGGTCGTTCATACACGCCCTAGAGAAGAAGTACGCAGGGACAGTAGAACTCGACACTTTCTTCGAGAAACTCAAGACTTCCATGTCTGCTTCCACAAAGATCTCTAACACTGACCAAGAACGCTTCGTTTCTAAAATGAGTTCTGCAGTTAGTAAGGTGTCCAAGGCCGCAGATACTGTTAGTTCAAAGTTAGCCAAATCACCAGAGGTGTGTATGAAACAAAATAAACATGTTTTCAGCTAATATTATATTCTTTTGACTAAAATATCATGTTTTTTTTTCTGTTGCACTAGGCGAAGAACCGCGCACAATCTTCCCAAGAAAAACTAATGGAGACTTACAAAGAACTAGAAGATCTTAACAGTAAAATAGTGAGCGAGAATAAAGGCAAGACAGTGTCGTCCACACAACAGTCAGAGCTTAAGCAGGCACTCAGTAAATGGGAACAAGTCACCACCCAGTTTGTGGAGAGTCTTGCTTCTTCGAGTTCTTCATCTTCATCTTCATCTTCCTCTAAGTCTAAGAAATCTGAAAAGTCTGAAAAATCTCATGAATCTCAAGAGTCCCAGCAGTCTCAGCAGGGCAGTACCACGAAGACTCAGACCAATTGATGCGACTCAAATCAACAAGAAAGACAAACTAGTACCGCCATATATGATAATTAGTAACCAACTAGAGGTTTTTGTTTCTTTCAATAAGACTAAGATAAGTGTAGGCCAGCAATGTGTACCTATAGACCGACATATGCAAATAATGTACACTGTATGCGCTCTCTCTATGCTTACAAAGAGAAGTAAGTGAGACCCCATTAAAAGGGGTTTTTAATAGTTTCTTTCTGTTCCTACCTATATTAATTTTTTTTTTCAAAACTTTGTATTTTTATGATCATGGTAGTTTCTAGGACTACTTGTGGTTACAATATAATTGTGGAAAGGAATTAATAAGAGATTATTATTATCTTACATTCTAATATAATAGATTCATGAAAATTTATCTAAATAAAATAATAAATGTTGGATGCATTCACTCATATATCATTTACATGAACAATAACAAAGTTTTTTTTAAAGAATGTTAAATATATCCAAACAAAAAAAAACCTTTTGTACAATGAGTGTGATTTTCAAGCATAGTGTTTATGAATAATTCACAAACCAGAAAACTAGTAACTGAACTTGTTATCTTGTATCAAACCAAAGCCTCATGGCATCCTCGTATGCATCCCCTCAATGAGGAGATTCGATTTCGGACCACCTAGTCCACTGAAGTTTTAATTAACAATAACAAAGTTAACTGAAAGCACTTAACGCATGTTTGTTTCATAAAGTTTTAATTAAACATCCTAAAAATAATGTTAAATTATAGGGTATCTCTAAATCTATCTCAAAACTTGACTAAAATGTGTTTTAGTATGTTTTATTTTATCTTATCAATTATTATGTATAATGCATTATAAATCGAATATGATATATTCTTAATATCTATACTATTAAAAGTAAATGCATCCTTGAAAAATCGACTGATAGAAGTTGTGTGCACCCTCATTAATGGCATTTTGGTAATTTATTTCCGGCCTTACATCTCTATATATATCAATTTGTTACAAATTATATCACATACTCCCTCCGTTTCGAATTAGATGTCATTCTGGAGAAGAAATTTTGTTTCAAAATAAGTGCCGTTTCAAAGTTTCGAGGCAAAATTTATTAGGTTTATATGATATTCTATTTTTCTATTGGTTGAAAAGTGGTTAGGTGTATAGGTAATTGTGTTTTTATCTTGAAAATATATAAAATTAAATGTTTCCTTAATCTGTGTGCAAAAACCTAGAATGACAACTAAAATGAAATGGAGAGAGTATTGCATATACCCGAATTATTCTCTCTCTTTCTATTAATTACTCTAACCATTAATTATTCTGTCTTTTCCCATTAATTATTCTCTCTCTTCCCATTAATTACTCTAACCATATTTCATACAATATTTCATACATTTATTGATTTCCAACATTATATTACACGATTTGGTATATGCATCATATATGGACTTTATAACCACATTTCATACTATATTTCATACATTTATATATATTGTATTATACACCTTATATTACATGATTTCAGTCTATAGATTTTCAGCATTATACTTTTATGGTTGACTTTTTTGGTATATAAATCATATATAGACTTTATAACCATATTCCAAATTATATTTCATACATTTATATTATGTTATATACCTTATATTACATGATTTCAATCTATATATTTCCAACATCATACTTTTTTTGTTGACATTTTTTGATATATGCATCATACATTGACTTTATAAACCTTCATTTCATTTATATTGTGTTATAGATCTTCATTTCATGATTTATCTTCATATATGAAATATGTTTTCATGTCTCACTAAATTTACCCGTATTTATATACCATACTATATTTCATATAATTATATTGTGTTATAGACCTTATATTACATGTTTTCAATCTATATAGTTCCAACACTATACTTTTTTGGTTGACATTTTTTTGTATATGCATCATACATGGGCTATATAAACCTTCATTTCATTTATATTGTGTTATAAACCTTCATTTCATGATCTATCTTCATATATGAAATATGTCTTCATGTCTCACTAAATTTACCTGTATTTACAAACCATATTATATTTCATACATTTATATTGTGTTATAGACCTTATATTACACGATTTCAATCTATAGATTTTCAACATTATACTTTTTTGGTTGACATTTTTTGGTATATGCATAATACATGGACTATATAACATTCATTTCATTTATATTGTGTTATAAACCTTCATTTCATGATCTATCTTCATATATGAAATATGTCTTCATGTCTCACTAAATTTACCCGTATTTATAAACCATACTATATTTCATACATTTATATTGTGTTATAGACCTTATATTACACGATTTCAATCTATAGATTTCTAACATTATACTTTTTTGGATGACATTTTTTGGTATATGCATCATACTATATTTCATACATTTCTATTGTGTTATAGACTTTCATTTCATGTTTTTCTTCATATATGAAATATGTTTTCATGTATCACTAAATTTACCTGTATTTATATACCATAGTTAGACGACATATAGTGATATCAACCAAAAAAGAGATATCATCACTCTCATGTTGACATTTAATGGACGAGATATGTTTTGTTAAGAAAATATTGCAAATACGGTTTTCTATAATTATCTTCTAAAATAAAGAAATTACTTTACCTACAAATGTTAGATTAACCACAATCAATATCGTAGATTCCATAAATTTTGGTAACTTACCGTAGTTGGATTACCATTAACTGTTAAACTTTAAACTTCCTAACTAATTCAAAATCTTCCTCAAAAGAGATATTTTAGAAAATCGTATGAAATATTCTCTCCTACATTCGCGTAACCTAATTGTATATCGTCCGTACCTATTATAAATATAGCCTCTCTTAACCATTATATTTATCATCCCTTCAAAAACCTAAAACAAAAATGGCGAATAATTTTCAGTTGTCTTTCTTGAGCGATATAAAACCGAGGAAGACTGCTGTCGCATCCAAGTCAAAATCCTTCATACGTGGAGACATTTCATGAAAGACTAAGGGAGTCCATGGAACTAATCCTTTATGATGCAAATGTAAATTTATCGTTTTGTATAGATTTGCGATTTAGATATCTTCATTTCGTTAAAGTTTAACCTAAATGATAATGTTTTATGTTTATATAGGGAAGTAAGATCCATGCCTCGTGTAACAAGACATACATTCCTTGATTGGCAAAAGAAATTACTCAAATGCTTATGATTTATTTTTGGTTATAAGTGAGGTCCAAATCTCAAATGTTTATGACGTAAGTTAGATGTTTGTTAATTCTGAAGTACCAGAGACAAATGAATTTAAACAACGATATTTATCTTCTTCAACAAAAATGTTTTCACTTTATAATAGTATAGACTAAATTATAAAAATTATTTATAATCGCAAAGGTAATGATGATTCTCGAGCGTTAACCCTGGCTGAATCAAAATCGCAGAGGTAATGATGATTCTCCATCGATCCGTTTTAGGATTATGTTTGTTTAGAAATAATGTTTTTAGTTATGTTTTGACAATCGCGTAATGATGATTCTCGAGCGTTAATCCTGGCTGAATCAAAATCGTGTTTTGTTTTCACCCAATAATTTTCATTTTAAATAATCTTTGTTTTTTCTTGATGATTTATTGACTGATTTATTTATATGAAAAATACATAGTGTAGTATAAAACAGATCAATATACTATGATATAATAAACAAAACTCGATTTATACTATATTTGCTGCATATTGAAATAGAAAATGAGATACTTGGAGTAACAAATCTCATTTGTTACTCCAGAATCAAGCAATATTTAAATTCTTCTTTATATACTTGGAGTTATCTTTGACTCTCATAAAAAAATATTTTTGAGTTACCTTTGACTCTCATAAATCAATTTAATATTTTATTTTATGATCAACAAAAAATACATGTCCTTCTTAAACGCGGATCAAATTAAATATTATTTTTATTTTCAAAAATCATAGATGTAATTATATTAACTAACATAAATAAACTATATAAGAAGCGCGGGTCAAAATTGAATATTATTTTTAGTGTTCAAAAATCATAGATGTAATTATTTTAACTAACATAAATAAACTATATAAGAAGCGGGACAAAATTGAATATTAGTTTTACTGTTCAAAAATCATAAATGTAATTATTTTAACTAACATATTTATTGGATTTAACTACAAATTTGTAATAAAATTTTGGACCCATCCAATTTTGGATTCCATAAATTTCGGCAACTTACCGTAGTGGTATTACCATTAACTGTTAAACTTTAAACTTCTTAACTAATTCAGAATATCTTCAAAAATATTCCTTATTCCTCGAAAGAGATATTTTTTCAATTCGTCTAAATATTCTTCCCTACATTTGCGTAACCTAAATTTATATCATCCCTACCTATTATAAATATAGCCTCTCTTAATCACTATATTTATCATTCCTTGAAAAAAGTAAAACAAAAATGACGAATAATTTGTAGTTGTCTTTCTTGAGCGATATAAAACCGAGGAAAACTTCATGTCGCATCCAAGTCAAAATCCTTCATACATAGAGACATTTCATGAAAGACATAGGGGAGACCATGGAACTAATCCTTTGTGATGCAAATGTAAGTTTATCGTTCTGTATAGATTTATGATTTAGATATATTCGTTTTGTATAAGTTTAACCTAAATGATAAAGTTTTGTTTTGTATATATATGGAACTAAGATCCATGCCTCGTGTAACAAGACATACATTTCTGAATTGGCAAAACATATTCGTGTTGGAGTATGGAGGAACATTGATCGTTTCAGTGTGTCTGCCCTTGGTAGATCATACAGATCAACTCAGCATAAGTATCGCGGGTCAAAATCTGATATGTGTTTCAGTGTCTCGGCCATGGACCCATCCAAGTGCGGGTCAAAATGTAATATGTGTTTTAATTTTTCATACTCTCACAATACTTATTTTTTTGATTCTCTGTTCAACCACAAACTGACTCAACCACAAACTCGCTCGGTTATGCAAAGCTCAATGAAAAGATCCTACTAAAATGTTAAATATACATCGAATTTCACATATAAAACTATCTTATAATAAAAATAGAATCATTTGATACATGTTGTTACAACCAAAATAAAACCCGCGCTTCTCAAGCGCGGGGCAAAATCTAGTTATATATATTAAATTTACAAATATCTTACATTTATATATTATTATTGCTTGAGAAATTGTTTTAGTATGTTTTATTTTATCTTATCAATTATTACTGTATAATGCATTATAAATCGAATATGCTATAGTCTTAATTTTTTTTAAAACAATTTGCAAATATCTTACATTTATCTATGCTATAATTTGAAAAGTAAATTTGCTGATTTGTCACCTTCTCCATAATTTTAGATAATTTTGTTTTTATTTTACATATTTTTATAATTTTGACTAATGATTAATTGTTATTCTTAATAAATCGTTAAATTTATTAATATATAATTAACCATAAACTAAAATGAATTAATAAATAATTAACCATAAATTAGAAACAAATTTTATTGTTTTTGATGATTATCATTATCTAAAAAATAGTTTGTATTAATTAACCATAAACTCAATTGAATTATTATATAAATAACCATAAATTAATTATTTTATTAAACTATTATTTCAAAAGTGAATTTGCTAATTTATCACATGCTCCATAATTTTAGGTAATTTTTCGAATTTGTTATGTTTTAATGATTTTAACTAATTATTAATTACAATGCTTAATGAATAATTAAATTCATTAATATATAATTAAACATAAAGTAAGAAAATAATAATATATAATTAATTTTATAAAGACACAAATTTCATTGATTTGATGATTATTATTATCTTAAAATAATTTATATTGATCAGCCGTAAACTAAAATTGAATCAATATATAATTAACAATAAATTAAAAGCGAATTTCATTGATTTGATAATTAGCATTATCTAAAAATAATTTATATTATGTGATAAAATATTTAATAACTTAATGAATTGTTATATTTGTGAACATGTAATTAACCATAAATTAAAAACAAATTTCCTTGATTTTTATAACTATCGTTCTATAAAAATAGTTTATGTTGTGTTATTCAAAAAATAATTTTACATTAGAATTTCTAAGAAAGTTTAAATTATAAAAGATAAGTCCTTATATATTTGTATATAATATTATGTATATATCAATGTTTTCAGATTTATTTTAACATGATAAAAGATAATTTTATTATATTTTAAAAAATCATATCAGAAAATTAATATTTAATGTATTACAAAATATTTCAAAAGCATTAGTGTTTTAAAGATTAGGTTACGTAGTAAAAAATATTATGTTACGATAAAAACTTGTATATCTAAATTTTTTATTTTTTATTTTTTATTAAATATTTTTAATCTATGAAGTAATTTATTTAATTGTATTTGAATTGATAATATATTTACTTTAAAGTATTGTAAAACTATCATGTCCGTGACAAAACACCTAATATATTATTATTTCTTGAGAAATTGTTTTAACTTGATAAGGAATATTTTGTATATTTTTTGCAATACGTGAAAATCATTGTGTCGTACTGAATCGCGATTTATAAACGTATAGCTATTTAAAGAAAAGATAGAGGAGGACATGCAGTTTTATTTCAAATATATATAGAACGCAATTTTAGAGTCCTCTCCGGACAGATGGCCAAAAACAGAAAGTGTCGGCTTTGTCAAATAGTAGAGAAGGTTTATATTTATACGATTGTTATTGTAATATATCACCAATCGAATTCAAATCTGTAATATTGTAAACTCAACCAACCGGTTAGTCGTCTTGATCTCTCGATGCTGCTCATGCACGTCTGCCACAACGAGCACCAGATTCCGGTCTCGTCTCCTCTATACGAACTCAACGAACTAAACATCCCCCTCTCGATCTCTGCTCTGTTACATGGATCTCAAGCATCCGGACGGTGACATTGAAAGATTAAACTTAAAAAAATGTTCCGGATTGTTGCTACTCAAGATTAGGTCTCAGTCACGTAGCATCAGAACTTGGTGAGCCTATGAAAACGCACAAACCTCGTCTTGATCTGTCTAGCTTGGAAAAAGCAAAGTTGTTAACTGAAGTAGAACTTGACAAATCTTTCCCTAAGCAAATTGATTTGGATGACAAACAAGGTAATATATTATTGGAGGATGTTGAGTACACATGGATTCTGAGTATTTGTGACAGATGTGGGCATTTAGGACATAAAGAGAAAAGATACCTCCTACCACCAGTCCAGAATGTGGAAACACCTTCAGTGGAGAAGACTGTGTCTAATGAAGCACTAGATGTTGAACCGGTAAAGGAACAAGCTCGGTTCAATGTTGCATCAGATCAAGTGAAGGTACAAGTGGAAAATTCAGAAGCAAGTTTCGTTGTAGCTGAAAAAGCAAAATATGAATCTACTGATCAGATTTTAGAACCCACTACAGAGACAAAATTGAACAACTGCAATCACAAAAGGGTGTTGAGCTGAAGGCTCTTTCAACACCATCAAACTTTCCCACCCACTCCAAGTAACAATAGCCATTGGCTCTAACTCTCACTCCACTTCACCACCATTATCAAGTACTGTTCATGATCCAGCTCAACCTATTATTATGGAAGAATTCTATCACTTATTATTGTTTCCGAGACCAGTTTGGAATTAGGAGACAATCCGTTGGCCTTTATGTGCACACTTACACATGTCAGCCCTTTCACGATCAAACTAAGCATAATGTACATGTTGATGGAGATGGGTTTTTGAGTGATGTTACGGGAAATCTCAACATGTCAACAGGCCAATAAAACCACTTCAAATGTATCACGATATGGAATGGAAAGCACGAAGGAAAGGTAAAAGAGGTCATTGAGGCCGTGGGTACCATACTCCTTAGTGTTTTCATATTCCTTTCTTGTTTCACTAAGCTTGTGTAACATAAGCTTTTCGTTTCTAAGTTAATGCTTAGCTTACATGGATTTTCTCATCATGTTTTCTAAAACTTTATGGTTACAAAACCATATCTTGTATGTTTTATGTTTTTTAATTTGAAAACCCCTTTTCAGAAAAAAATGAGAGGATTTTAATATTTCTACAAAACATAGAAAGAGGGATTAGTACTTGAGAACTTTAATGTTATAATTTAAGTGATATATTTATTCTCTAAATATAGAATGGTAGAAACACAATTTTCCGTCATAATCGGTTATGGAACATGAGAGCCATTTACATTTTGCTATTCTCTCTCTCGGCCTTCAATGGATCCACCAATTTCTCTTAAAGCAAATTTAGCGTTCTTAAGCATCTATATAATCGAGTTCTCTTATGAAATAAAATCAATCAAAAAAACCGAAAAAATAGAATTTTATTTATTTTTCTTTTAGTAAATCACTAATTTTTTTTCCATCTGAAAGGAAAATGGCAAGATTTCCTTTAGCAATATGTCTAATGTGTATAATAGTAGCATCAAGTACGGTATATGAAGCGCAAGGAGGTTTCTTATTAAGGCATTACTTGAGGAAACTTCCTAGACTGGCCAACGAGTTTGAACCTTTCGCTTTCAAGATTATGATTAGATTTATAGAAAACCTTGAGAGCCTATGCTCCTCGAAAGTGGAGTACAAGGAGTTCTTCTCAAAGCTGAAGGCTTTTTTGATCTTCATAAACTCAGCAGCAGGGAAGTCTTCATCGTCAGAATTTGAGTCTCAGTTGAAAGCACATTCTGAGGGGCTCTTCAAGGCTATCTCTGCATTGGGTGTCAAAGCATCGGTAAGAGTTTATATTTTGTTATCTCATTTCAGAGTATTCGAACATGCTCTTCTTTATTTGAAATGAAAAAGAATGTTTTTGGGTGTTATTTTTTCTGGCTTTGTGGTAGGCGGATACAAGCAAGTTGATTGAAAGTTTGATGTCAATGGGAAAAGTTATGGCTGAGTATAAGAGGAGTGGTTCACTAACAATGACAAGTGAACAAAGGAAAGTGCTGATCACATCTGTGATGAAATGGGCACAAGTGATTGGTCAGTTTGTGAAAACTGTACGAGAAAAGACTGGTGATGGTGATATTGATCTCCCATCTCTTGGCGTTGGTGGTGGAGATGATGACACCGGAAGTGCTGGAGGTGGAAGCTCTGGCAGTGGTTCATCCTCCATGGGAGCTGGAAACGCTGGGGGTGGAAGCTCCGGAAATGGGGCCTCCTCCATGGGAGCTGGAAGCACTGGTATGGGAGGTGGAAGCACTGGTGGCAGTGGTGCTGGTGATGGAAGCTCTGCTGACGCCGGAAGTACAGGTGGTGCCAGTGGTGGAAGCTCTACTGACGCCGGAAGTACAGGTGCTGCCAGTGGAGGAAGCTCTACTGACGCCGGAAGTACAGGTGCTGCCGGAAGCTCTGCTGATGCCGGAAGCACAGGTGGTGCCGGAAGTACAGGTGATGCCGGAAGCTCTGCTGATGCCGGAAGCACAGGTGGTGCTGGCGGCGGAAGCTCTGCTGACACCGGAAGTACAGGTGATGCCAGTGGTGGAAGCTCTACTGACGCTGGAAGTACAGGTGGTGCCAGTGGAGGAAGCTCTAATGACGCCGGAAGTACAGGTGCTGCCGGAAGCTCTGCTGATGCCGGAAGCACAGGTGCTGCCGGAAGTACAGGTGGTGCCGGAAGCTCTGCTGATGCCGGTGGTGAAAGCTCTGCTGACACCGGAAGTACAGGTGGTGCCGGTGGTGGAAGCTCTACTGACGCCGGAAGTACAGGTGGTGCCAGTGGAGGAAGCTCTAATGACGCCGGAAGTACAGGTTCTGCCGGAAGCTCTGCTGATGCCGGAAGCACAGGTGCTGCCGGAAGTACAGGTGGTGACGGAAGCTCTGCTGATGCCGGAAGCACAGGGGGTGCCGGTGGCGGAAGCTCTGCTGACACTGG